CCAACCTGACCGGAAAGAACCAACCTGACCTGAAAGAACCAACCTGACCTGAAAGAACCAACCTGACCTGAAAGAACCAACCTGACCTGAAAGAACCAACCTGACCTGATCTTAGTTCAGGAGTCTAAAACTTGACAAACAGGCTTAAAACAAGTCCTTTCTGTGGAAATTAGGTTTATTTTAGGACATTATGGAGTAAAAATCTTTTATTTATCACAACAAAAAAATCAAACTRATCAAGTCTTTATTTGTTAAACCAAATAAAACGTATCATACTTTATAAATATTAAAACAAGTTAATTCTGTAATAAATTATTATTAAACTTAATAAATTTGTGGATGTTTGTGACCTAATTATCATAATTTACCTAAACTTTGATTTCATTTTTGTCAAAATGACTTTATTTTTCATCAGTTATTTGTCGTACTTCTGTCTTTTTTTAGTAACTCAGGTTTTATAGTCATTTGAGTCAAATCRATTTACACAAATGTATCCAACTGCAGCTAAAGTCAGCTGAAACTAGCCGAAACTAGCTGAAACCAGTTTTTTTTGTTGTAGTTGTGAAGTACGTTTCAGACTCTGCAGATACGGAAGAGCCGCATGTGTCCCAAAAAACATCTTAAACGGTTCAAATCAGCAAAATAGTAGCCAAAAGCTTAAACAAGCAAAACAGTAGCTAAAACAAAAAACAGCTAAACGGTAACTACAAGCTAAGACCAGCAAAATAGTTACTAATAGCTAAATGGAGCTAAAGAGTTGCTTATAAGAAAAACAAACCAGTAACTACAAGTTAAAACTAGCAAAATAATAGCTAAAAGCTAAAACCAACAAAACAGTCCCTAAAAGCTAAAGCATGCAAAAATATTATCTAAAAGATAAATGTAGCCAAAGAGTAGCTAATTGCTATATTTAGCAAAACGATAGCTTAAAGGTAAGACCAACAAAATAACTACAAGTAAAAACAGCAAAAAATAAGCTAAAAGCTAAGTCCCACAAAGTAGTCACCAAAACTAAAACCAACAAAATATTAGCTGAAAGATAAGAGTAGTGAAAAAGTAATAGCTAAATTTAGCAAGACATTAGCTTTATGCTAAGA